AGGGCGGGGGGGGAGGGGAACTCGCCCGGCCCCCCCAGACATGCCCCCCCCCCCAAAAAAAATCACAGGGTTCAATCATGGGGATGAGACTTTTATTCTTTCTCCTGTTCTGCTTCAAGCAGACAGAGTAACTCCACAAAGCACCCACGCAAAGCCTTTTTGAATTGGTTCATCGGGCATCCTCACCAACTCACATTGATGAGGAGGTTCCTCTTAACGTCCAATCCTTTGCGGATCTGAACGGTGGCGCAGAAAGAGAATAAACTCTCATCCCCCGTGATGATGATGGAAGCGACCGCACGGTAAAGGATTCAGGCTAGAGCGAGGGAGCCTCCCCCAACCCCACCAAGGGTCCATTCAGTGGCCAATTCCGGATTTTCAGATGTGACCACGTGACGTGGACTACATTTCCCAGGACGCATTCACAGCTCCCCATTCTTCACTAACTATCCCAAATCCCATGAACTCTATAAACTGTCGGGACAGGACACTCCCCCGAGGGCAGGAAGGAAGGAACGTGGCGAAGAGGAAGGAGGGAGGGAAGAAGATTCGACCCAGGCGGGCAAATTCAAATCACTTCGTTTTGAGGCAACCGCTCCCCTCTCCATTGTCCCCACCTGCCGGGATCCCCCTCCCTTTGGCCCTCAAACAATTCACCTGCCGATGCAGCCCCTTTCGGCCGCCTGACACCCCCCCCCCCTACAAGCCTTTTGGGTCTGCACCCTCTGCAGACCCAGTTCTCCCCGCAGCTGTTCACCGCAACCGGGGCGGTCCACGAACGCACTAAGCAGTTTTCCCCTCCGGTTCCAGCCACTTCTTCCTTCAGGCGGAGGGGCCAGCCCGCTGGCATGAGGGGCCGTCCGCTTGGAGGGCAGAGGGCCGGGGCCACGCTTGAGACCCCCTTTTCCTGCTCTTCCCCACCCCCCACAGCTCTTCCTCAAGATCCTCCCGCACTACCTGGGCTCCACCATCCGCCCTGCCGACGAGGAGCCCCCGGGCACCCCCTCCCCTCGCCGTTCCTTCTCCCTCTTGGTCAAGGCCGAGGAG